CCGCTGCCCCGGTGTGGCAGCGGGGCCGCCTCGCCCTCCTTGGCGGGAGGGCAGGGCAGGACAGCGCCAGGCCGGCTGGAGGGGAGATGACAGTGCATCTCAACTCTGGGAGGGGAGCGGGGCCCGCGGGCAGGGCCAGCCGGGGGCATCGAGGTGCCCTTCGCGCTCCCTGCGGTTCCTGCAGTAAAGCCGCTTGACAGGTGGCCGCGTCTCTGGGAAATAACTTCTCAGCGGTTTCTGGTCTAGATGGCAGGTGCTCAGGAAGCCCTATGTACAGAGGGAGCCGTAGGTAGAGATGCGCGAGTCTTGGTGTTCGGCTGCGTCGAGTGCTGAAGAGCCACTGGGGAAAATGCCTGCTGTGGCTGGAGGCTGGCTGGAGAGCAATGTGACCTACTTCCAGTTGGCCTTTTTATGGCTTGAAACACCTGTGGAGAGGCTCTTTCAGCACAGAGTCAGTCCCTGAAGGAGAGAGCTTTGACTGGGAGGTACAGAAATGTTGTAGGAATGCTTCACTTGTTGGCTCGTATTGGGCCGCTTTACATGCATCCTCCTCTTAAACGTCTTGTTAAGACTAGAAATGTGGGGGGAGGGGAAGTAGCTGCCTCCATGGTAAAAGAGCAGTTCTTGGCACCATAGAAATTGGCTGTATGACTTATAGGCATTTTGTAGCATGAATGAATCGCGTCCAAATGGTGAGAGTTGAGATCTGTTTAAGCCTGCCCTCTGTGCAGCAGCCACTACTTAGTCATGCAGACTGTTGTTTTGAGAGCATTTTTGTGGGGAAAACTTTGAGACCTTTAGACTTTGGGGGATAGTATATGTATCCAGGCAAAGTGGGAATAAATTTAGTGTTTTATGGATTCTAAAAAGGTTAAGCAGGTCTCTCAAGAAATGTCCCACTGAGGAATTGATTAGTTCTGTATTCGTTATTTGAAGTACATCATATAGAATGAAAAGGCAGCTGACTTCAACTGTTATCAACAAAAAGTACTGGGGAGTCTGTTGATTACATTGGGTAGCAATGATGGCTAGCTCTTGTAGATTGTGAAACAGAACAAATTTATAAATATCTGTTGCTGTGCACTATTTTAAACAGGGCCTGTTCATATTTGATTTAATATATTAAAGACCCATGTTTTTGAGAGTTTTCCTATTTGTTTTTATATTAGCAATTCATGTCTTGCCTACCTTGTTTTCATCTGGTGATTAGGGTTATTTTAAGTGAAACCTGAATTACTGGGAAGGGAAGTTAACTTTTATCCAGATAGTTAGGAAATGCAAATATTTTTAGCAAACTCCAAATGCCTGAAGAGCTTGGTAGTTAAAGACCTCAGGTCCTCATCCTTTTGAATTACATTTTATAGACCTTGCAATCCACATCTGAGGCATCAAAGCTTCCATCAAATTTGGGGAAGGCTGGATTTGACATTTCTGATGCAGCTAAGGTTGCATAAACACAGGTTAAATTCTTGTTTTTCTTTTATACAGTATAAACAGCCAAAAATTTAAACCCCCCCACTTAATTTCCTTTGTATAGTCGGTGTTTTAAAACTTTTCAGTTTTACTGATATTCCCTAAGCTTGAATCCTGTTACAACACCTACTGACCCTAGAATGGGAGTGAATTTAAGTCAGCCCAGCGTAGGTGACCTAGAACCTTTAATCTTTTCCAGTAGTGCAATAAATCAGGTAGTCTAAATTCCAATAGGTTTTCACATTCAATTTATTTAAAACTATTAGTACATCTCTTTAAAATGGGTGTAAATGTATGTATCTACCCAACCTCTTAGTTTAGCTGCAACCTCTTTTTTTCTATATTCATACAGTGAAGATAACCTTTGTCTCATGCTGTTCTGATCACCTTGTCTTCCCTTCCCTTCAGTTCGCTCTGCTCCCTGTATGCCTTCTATATCAGGTTTATGCAACTTCTTTTCTATCCGACATCTTCAATTTAATCTTGCACCCTTCATTCTGGAATCATTTTATGCATGATCACTACCACTTATCCTGCTTTTTTTTGCTGCCTTGTCTATCTCCATGCTGTCTCTTCTGCCAGGCACACACTATTAAGAGTGTAGCAAGCTTCCTCCTCAAAATGCATCTTTTTCATGAGGCTTGCCAGTAATACTTCTCTTGTTCTTTTCTCCCCAAAATCTCGTGAAGCACTTTATTGTTAACCTGAAAACTCTTTGCTGCACTGTTGTGCATCTTAACTGTATGGCCATCTAGTGCTTTCTTTTAATTAAGTCATCTTTTTCTTATTTTAGGTTATGTTTTATATTGGATGTCAAACTCATTTGTCCCTGCAGCCAGGACAGTGCATGAACAGTGTTAATCCCTGTGGCTGCCAGATCTGCTGTTTCAGTGCAACTGGAACCCAGAGAGTTAATACCACTGCTGCTTGGCTCCCCTTTTCCCCTACAGCCAATTTTAGAAACCAGGGTGACCAAACACCCTTGATTTCAGCAGTGGGTAAGTGTGGGGGTAGTGGGGAGGGGAAATGAGTGATGTTAACGTTCTTGGTTCTGGAGCTGCACTGAAACAGCGGGTCTGGCAGCAGCTATGATGAGCCCTGCAAGATGGATCTGACCCCCCAAGATGCTCACAAGAAGCCCCATGAGGTTGATGACCCATCATCATGGGCTGGCTCTGGCCATGGGCCATGTTTGACCCCGATGTTGTACATAACAATGAGCCCATCATGTGTTGCAGAATACTATCAGGCACGTTGTTAACCACTTTTGAGGTGGCACATAATAATATATTCTGTGGTTTATGCATCTGTAATGCAGCCCCATATATAATATAAAGAGATGTTAAAACAGCTTCTACACAGCAGTAGGATATGAAAAATTGTGCATCTATTTGAAAAGTGGAGAGGATGTAAATTGGCAGAGTGTAGACTCCAGCAATGAATTTGGCCAGGGTGTTAATTGTTAAGAACTTCTTGAAGGAAAAGTGCCATATAATCTTGAATAATTGTAAATGGATGAGATCTTTCATTTGAAAGCCTGCATCTCTCATCTGCACACTGACCCCCTTATAGTTTTTTTGGGGCACTGATGTTATACCAGCTTGGAAAAGATCTTCCAGCATTATCCATTGTCCTGTATTATCCATTGTCTTCTTCAGCAGTCTCTTATTCAATTACTACCAGGTTTGACCTGGCTTATCTTGAAATATAAGACAATGGCTCAGGATTTTATGGCTGTAGTCTACAGATATTAAAGCACAATGAATTTCACTTTTCTGCCAATTCTAAACTAACTTAAGAGGTTAGTGATGAAGATTAAAAAAAACAAACTGAATAACTGGGGGTGAGGAAGGACACTGTGAATCCTTAAGGTGAAGTAGCTTGTGGTTACAGGCCCTAATGGAAAAGTTTCAGTATTATGAATGCATATTATGCTTAAACCAATTGTCTCTGAGCTCTTATACTATCTGAGACATTTGCTGAACAAGTGAAGCTCTCTCGAATTTAGGTCGAAGAGGTGTTGTTGAAATCTTATTTTAATGGGAAATGTTTGAGCTTACAAACATTTAGCTTTGGGTTTTAGCAGTACCTGTGTGTATTTGTAGCTAAACTTTCAGAGCTTGGTTCACGTTTGACTTTTTTTTTAACCTACCTATGTCAGTCCACATGGGATGGAAAAAAAACACGTTGCATTGTTCTGCTGCTGTTTTCTTTGAATTATGTGCTGCAGTATTGGGGTATTTCAGTTGCTAGAAAGTATTGACTGGCATTGAGGTACTATCTGAATGTTGGATAAAATGGTGTGAAATGTTAATTTTTTTATGGTCTATAAATATTTACTTATAGTAGGGAGGAGTAATAATTAAAAACATCTTTGCTTGCTTAGGAACTAAGGGAAAAAAGAATGCAAAACTGACATCAGAACTTCCTTTGGAGACACCAATAAGTAGACCCTTGGAAAAGACAATGCATTGATGAGACTTCATGAGCAAAGAATAGACCCAGATGATCCCTCTGAAGGGGCACTGTCAAGGTTGGTAGAACAGAAATTTGACCTGTCTCTTCTTTCTTTCGATAAAATCCATACAAATAACTTTCCAAATAAACACTGAGATGTCTCTGTTTCATAGAAAACAGTACCCTCAATCATGATATGGCCCCCAACAATACTGTTTATATATTGCAGTTGCATAGGCAGCCCTTCTGTAACAGTTTCAGGCTTCCGCTTATTAAAAAAAATATAGGGAGTAGGAGGAAGTAGGAAGATAAGGGATTTAGAGTTCCAGAGATGAGCCAAAATTACTTGGATAGTGCCTACCAGCCTTTGAAAAACTAACTGCTTGGAATGAGAAGACTATATAGTTTTATTTCTGGAATCAAGGAAAGTTAATCAAAAAGCTTGCCATTTCCTTGATATATTATCATCATTTATCTATTGGCTAGTTTGTAATCAAATTAACTAATATTTTGGGGGCTAAGGAAAGAGCTATTTGCTGCTTTAGGGAGCTCTGCAGTAGAAAAAAGTAGTTGGCTGCATTTACTGTCAAAATGGATTTATTTCAATGTGCCTATTTGGTGCGAGTGGAAATAAAATGCCTAATGCTCAAAATTGGCAAAAATAGAATGCCAGCGGGAATAATATGGAATGGGTGGAGCAATTTTTTTTTAAGTCTAATGCTCATCTTTCTCCACTGCAATATTTGAAAATATGATGAGAACTGCTCTGTAGAACTCTGCAAACTCTTATTCTGCTGAATGTTGTCTGTTATGACTTGTCTATACACTATTTTGTACTAGTACATGTTGAGTATAGGATCAAAGTACATAAATGCAGTACAGGAAGTAATTGGTATTGGAGCTACAGCCTGAAGCATAAGTTTCTGCTGGAGACTATCAGTGCCGGGGTTCTTAGATTTTCATAGTGTGGATCACATCTTACTAGAGTCATAGGGTGCACTTTATTTCTTCCATGGGAAAGCTCATGCTTATACCCCAGTATCTGCATGCACTAGTTGGTTCCCCAGAAGTCTTGAGGGTACCATGCATTAGCGGGGGGTAAATGTTTTTATACAGATGAAATGATCTAGGGCATGATGAGAACCATGGTTTGGTCCTTGACTGCAAGAAAAAGAATGGTAGAATTGGTTAACCTTAAAAGTCGGGGGGCTCTATCGTGAGGAGTCTGCTGCTCAAATGTCTCCAGATTTGGAAAACTAATCCTGCCCTGTACTTCCAAAGAGTCTTTTATTCCTTGTCCTCTTATCCAGTGAAACATTCTATCTGATGCTTTGTTAATTTTGGACCAAAATCTAAAAAAACAAAACAATCCACACATAATGGGGACCTAACATAAGTCCTTTTGCAGGATGATTGCTGGTAATGTTTATTATAGTAGTGCCTAAGGACCAACTAAAAATAGTGCTAGGACCCTGCTGTGTAGCATGGTAGGTGATTCCTGTCCCAAAGTGTTTTATGATCAAAATAGGCAAAACAGGCACAGGGCAAGTGGTGGATGCACATGTAAAGTGAACAATATCTTAGTAGCAAACAGGTCCCTAACGTTTTAAGAAGGGGTTTGTGGGGAAAAAGGGAGACTGGGGCAAGCTTGGAGTGAGATGAGTTGAGAGAGCGAGAGCTAGAAAGAGAGTGAGCAAGTGATCAAAAAAACAGTCGGAACAGGAGAGAAAATCCAGTTAGAACTACAGAAACTTTGAATGTTTAGCAGTCTCGGCTTTCATTCCTTTTGCAGCAGATTTGTAAAAGTTGGATTCTGCTTCCCTCTGCAATTTTCCTTCAAGGCCCCATGCTGGGGGTCCTGGCCCACTTTTCACACAGGCTTGAAATCTTGGAAAATCTATTGAATTAGGTTAGACATGTCTGAGAATCCACTTTATTTTCAGTAAAAACAGAGTTTTGTAGAGCAAAACATCCTTTACTATAAAACTTTAGTTTTGTACTTCTACCAATTCAGTGACATTTCAAATTAACATTTTTTCTTGGGCTATTTCAAAAACTATGTTTTGACCTAGTATGTTTTAATGGCCCAGTTAAAGGCAGAAAATAGGACTTGAATGTTGGTATGGTTTTATCTGTAGCAGTGTAACTATAATAAAGCACTGAACGAAAAGGGAAAGCTATTTTTTGTGGCTGTTTTCAATTAATCTTTTGTGTCTTGAAACATTCTTATATATTATTTGGTGCATTTTAGTGGAGTACATTTCCAGCTTATAAATACACTAAAGCTTGCTATGATAAAATAAATGTGTGCTTGCTTGCTTGTTTGCTTTTTTTATATTATTAGCTTTTTGGTTTCTTATGCTCCAAAATTCAGAAGGTCTTCGTTTACCTTGTTGGTAAAGTGTTTTGGTGGACTGAGAGTTTTAGGTAAATAAATGAGTTATTTAAAGTAGAATATAAAGCAGTCATGCTGATGCTACTGGAATAAATAAAATGAAAAAGAATAGCTAATAAACACTTAAAGTAGATCCTACTTTGTCAAGTGCTTTTCTTTTCTGTGACATTCTGCACTTACTGTCTTACTGCACTTACATTTTGTCAAATAGGTTTAAGCATCATCAGTCCCATTCTTAGCAAAAACAAAAGAAACCCCCTTTGTTCAGCAGAGGGACCAGGATTGTAATAGATGTGCCTTGATTTGACTTCTTTAGAGAGCAGGTGTATTGCCCAGGCAAGAACAATGAAGACTTCATTGCTATTGATAACAGTACAACTTCTTTTGGAACAAGACTTTATCTAATAAGTAGAAGTTAGATGCAGTGAAGTAGGCAGATGCCATTTAGATCTCATGCAAAGCCTAAATCTTTAGTGACTTGGTGAATTAGAGTGTTCTGGCAGGCAAAGTAGGAGGAGAGCAGTGTATGTATGCCCATTTGATGTATTTTTTTTATTGGCATTCTCACTTAATCTGAGGTTTCAGTAACAATTGCGTGCTTCTTTCTGTAATAAAACTGTCTCTGCAGATCCTTGTAGAAACTGCTCATAGTGGTTTATGAGGAAAGACATGCGACTCCTAGGGTTTTGCAGCGGCTCTGTTCTGAATTCTAGTTACTTGCAGATGACTCTTACTGCAGACAGTTATTGTCAGATGGGTGTGGCTGAACGCAAGCATAGACTAGGATGACCTGCATTTAGAACAGTTAAAAAAAATCCTGATTAAAATGTTTTTCAAGTAGATCTAATTGACATGACAGTTAAAACGTTTCCAGCTGCTCATAGGATTTCCTGCTTGGAACACCGAAGCTTGCTACTTTGCACAAAAAAAAGAAAGTGTCTGTTATTTTACAGATGAGGAAAGTGAGGCACTAACACTATTACTTGTTTAAAACAGCCCAGTAAACTAGTGGTAGTGCCAAGAATAAACCATGGGTCTCTATAGTCCTAGACTCTACCTTGTAAACCAAAAATGGGAGTTGCAGGTGCATTTGTCAAGCATTCATTCTAAGCTCTAAATTTAGTTGGCACATGCACGTGTTGTATGCTATAACATAATTTTATGCATTGTACAAAACAAAGGGTACATCTGATGTCTTGTCCTTTTTATCCTAAGGTTGGGTTTTTTTTGTTTTGGTGGGTTGAGTTTTTATTTGTTTTGTATCTTTGTTTTCAATACACCTTAGCTCAGGTTCACAGTTGGGAGGAGAAAAGTGCTTGTTGAAGGATTTGAAACTTAGTTTAAGCTTGTTTCCATAAAAATGGGACTGTGTCTCTAAGGAAAGCCCTCATTGTCCTTTTTGATTTCACTCAATATCTCTTTGGCCTCTGACGTGTTATTTAAGGGGAATTGTATTTGAGGTGTGATAATACAGTGAATGAGCCACAAAGTTGTTCCGCATACAACTTTGTGGCTCATTCATATCTTAAATTGGCCATGTGGCCAGTTGGGGCTGGCCCATGATAGACCCTTAACTGAAGCCATTGGAACCCAGTGCTCATAACTGTTACCATGTTTGAGGGGCAGCAGGTTACTCTTTTCATGGCCTAGAGGAGAGATCAATGCCATCAACTGTTTCATGTCCTGTTCTGAAGTCTACCCTGGTTATACTGACAGTGTCTAAGTGAAGTTGAGGGTGATCTTTGCAAGCTTCTCCCTTGATTGAGAATGGGAGCTGTAATATAAAATACCAGTTCCTTCATTAATAGTTCAGAATGTGTTATTTAGGGAGGTGATGCATCTTTTCTTCTCAAAGGGCATATATATTTCAAGGGCACAGATTCTCTGTTTGCTCTCTGACAAAGGTGTGAATTAGGATTGCATGTTGTGGATCTTTCCTTTCAGTGCATTTGCACCTTCCTGTCCGTCCAGTTGCATCTGTTCTCACATGCATGGGGTGCTTGTTATCCTGGTATTTCTTTGAAGAAGTCTTTGAGTAGTTTCCTGACAAGTACTCTGGGAGTTTTCTGTGGTGTTAGGTTTGGATTCCGGAATTGAGTGACTCATTGCACTCCATTGACTCGGTTTCTTTGGGTGTTACTCTTTTACAGTACCATGGCTGGCAGTTTCCCTAGTACTTCTCTTGCAGAAAAATCCTGAGTAACTTTAAATAAAAAGAGATATATAGTGAAGCATATGGGGAGTCTTTGCACTGACTTCAGTGATATCAAAATTTGGTACTTGGTTTTTAACAAGGAAATGAACCAACTATTCAGTAGCATCTGGTATGCAATGCTTGAAACTTGACTGTTGTGGTGTTGTAGAATCAGAACAGTGAGGATTTTCTTCCTGCATTTCACTTGTTTTGAAATGATCTCTTTTAATGCTTAAGTTTTTAGTTGTTGTGTATTCTGGTGGGGTATGAGTAACTACTAGAAGTTACAGTTTGACTTATTTAAACCTAAGTTAATGATATTGGGAGAAAGATCTATAAGTATAGAAAATAAAAATAGCAGTGGACTCTTCAGGCTCAAGAACTTCACTAGTGATTATGAATTTGACCATTACATAAAATAGTCAGCTACCAGTATATTAAATATTACAAGTGCTTAGTGAGTTGCTGAGTACCTATATCCCTATGTAGGCTTCTAAATAAAGTGTCCTGATCTCTCTCTCTCTCTCTCTCTCTCTCTCTCTCTCTCTCGTTGAATATTTATAGCTCTGGGTACTTCAGTTTAAAAGCTTAAATAAGGTATTTAGATATCAAGTTTGAAACTCTAGTTAAAATATGAATGTTAATAACTTTATATTTTTATTTGGTACAATGCATTATTAATCCATTCCAAATACTTAATCTTGGCTTATTATTTTAATTGCTGTTGTTTTTATATTTAGTTATTAGTCTCTTTTAAAGGAATAATGTGAATTCCTTTACTTCATCATACCCATTTCTAAATGAGATTTTTATGCTTCTAATTTTATAGTCAGTGCAGTAAAACACTGATGTGGGGAGTGCATATTCATCTCAGTTTCTGGTATATTTTAACATTTGGCACAAAACAGTTATCTTGTGATAGGAAGTTATTTTGGCATTACTTTGACTCTTCTCTTTTACCTTTTAACAAATATACTGCTGCTTAAATGCTTGTTGAATTGCCAGTTTTTCATACTGTAACTTGAAACAACTAATCTTTCTAAGATACAGCTTCCTTAAAGTGTTTGTTCATTTTCCATATTTAAGGAAAATCAGTTATCCAGTTTTTAGCAGAGAATTTAAGCATTAAAATCCTTCTACCCTTCTTTTCAGTAAACTGTTAAAATTATTTCTCTTTATATTGCATTTAAAGTAAATTATATAAAAAATGCTTGTTGGCTTGATTTTTTTTCCCCCTGCCAGATGCCAGTCACAGCTGCATAATTTTAGTCACAAACCAATCTCTTTAAAGAACTCATTTGTTGGATGACTGCAGGAGAATTCTGTAATGCTTGTGTTAAATTTTATTTGGAAGAATGACTTGTGTTATAGGTAACGTGAATATATCCTAGAAGTAATTTTATCTCTCTCCTTTTATTTTAGATATGTTTGTCAGTGACAATGGATTATTTATTTTCAACAGACACTCTTATATGAGAAGGTTGCAATTCCAAACAGTTTAAGCATTCTTCCTTCTCCTGGAACAGTATGGCAGGCTTCAAACGAGGGTATGATGGGAAAATTGCTGGATTGTATGATTTGGATAAAACCTTGGGAAGAGGCCATTTTGCTGTGGTCAAACTTGCTCGACATGTCTTCACAGGTGAAAAAGTAGCAGTGAAAGTAATTGACAAGACCAAACTGGACACTTTAGCCACTGGGCATCTTTTCCAAGAAGTTAGATGCATGAAACTAGTGCAGCATCCGAATATTGTACGCTTGTATGAAGTAATTGACACCCAGACCAAACTTTATCTTATCTTAGAACTTGGTGATGGAGGAGATATGTTTGATTACATCATGAAACATGAGGAGGGTCTTAATGAGGAACTGGCTAAGAAATATTTTGCTCAGATAGTTCATGCCATATCTTACTGCCATAAGCTACATGTAGTTCACAGAGACTTAAAACCAGAGAACGTGGTCTTTTTTGAAAAACAAGGACTTGTGAAATTGACTGACTTTGGCTTCAGCAACAAATTTCAACCTGGGAAGAAGCTCACAACAAGTTGTGGATCTCTTGCCTATTCTGCTCCTGAAATTTTACTTGGGGATGAATATGATGCACCGGCAGTGGGTAAGTTACCGTGTTGTTAAGTTTAAACAGTAATCTTGACTTGCATATTTGGATATTGTATCAGTTGTTTTCCCTTTCAAGATAATTCCATGGTTGGAAGCTGAGTAATCAGCAAGAAGTATTATAGTAAGCCTACAATCACCTGTGAGTCAAGGTTGCAACAGCTTTATTTGAAGGAGATAATATTCAGCCTGCTCAAGAACTTTCAAAGCTGGTCTTAAATCTTCTATATTTTTATATCAAATATTAAAAATGAAAACATGCAGTGTATTATAACAATTTACCAGTAGTAAGATGGATGCAGTATATCTCTTGTGTATCTGTATAAACAAAACACAGCCTCCTTTGTGGGACCAGAAAGGCGATAGTTTAAGATCTCATGGAACAGAAGAGCATCATTATCTTAGTATTGGAAATAGCACATCTGGAGGTGAAGCACGTTTATAGGGTGACTGAGTTGACCTAAGGGGAAGTAGTAACTCATCTAGTTCATGAGATTTGTGACTCGGCTGTAAAAGGTAGAGAGCCGACAAAAGGTTCACTACCAAAAAAAATAAAATGAAAACTAATTGTGCCAACAACCAAAATATAGAGCTGCTTTCCTTTTAGCTTCTGTAGACCGTACCTACAATATATATAGGCCAGGGGTTGGGAACCTTTTAGGAGTGGCAGGCTGAAATAGTGCAACTTGGGCCAGGGTTGGCCAGCAATTGTAAACCAACTGCCTCCCCTGCTGCCTAGTTGCAGCTGAAATGCTTGCAACCCAATGGCTGCTAAATGTAGTTAGTGCCCATGCTAAGCACGCTAGACGTAGCCTGTGGGCTGTAGGTTGCCAACTCCAAGTAGACTGATAGATTTAAGAATTCTCTTTTTTTTTAAAGTTAATTCTTCTCATACATGTGCAAGTTTGGCACGTTTGGAAAATAACGACTATACCATTGATTTTGGTAGCTGTATACCAAAGTCAGTGGTCAAAGCTGTATACCATCTGAGGTCCATTACTGGGGTCAGGTTGAGAGCATGGACAAATGATCAAACTGCAGCAAGTTACAAGGGGCTGAGCATGCAAGTCTTCTGTAGTAAATGTTTGCTGTTGACTTTCAGTAAGTAAAAGCTAAAGACTGAGATGAAGTTTCCTAATCTTAACTTTTATTTAAATAGGGCAGGAGCTGTCAGAGCATTACTGCAGAGCTGATCCTTGCCCTACCCCAGTTAATTCTTTTTAATTTGGTCACTTGTGCATATCCATCCATTAGCACAATTACCTGCCACTCAATTTTGTAGCATATTACTGTACAACTGGGCAAGCATCTGAAAAAAAGAAAAGCTTCAGTGGATGTACTATCCTACGACAGTCTGCAATACCTTTTACTGTGGTCAAATGCCTCTTGTACTAGCCATGCAATTACCCATTCCTTTATTTTGTTTTCATATCACATAGTAGAACTTCACAGTCTTGCATGTACTCAAGGTTTTTTCAGGGTTGTGTTTCTGGTGGTGATAGCTAACAAAATATTTAAAGCTGCTTTGTTTCAGGCTTTTAATAATGTTTTGCCTCTTGTTATTGCTTAAGACATTGTATGTTGCTCCTGGATAAAGGAGCAGATCTTAGGGTGTGGGGTGAGGTAGTTCTCTTAATCTGAGATCTCAGATTTCTTCGTAAGAAGATCTAAATACAAAACTTGACTTTCAGTCTTTTTTTTCTAGTTTTGAATGTAGGTGTTTATTGTACTTTCCAGTCTCTTCTGTACCATATTTAAACAATCTGTTGACTAGTAAAGGTGGGTCTTAAGACATTTAGTTTTAAGAAAAGTAGCGATTTTTTTTTTTTTTTTTTTTAAAGCATATCCATATCAATAGCAAACTTCAGGGTAGCCCAGTTATTGGTTTCAGTCTCTTCCATCTTAGAGTTAATATCAAGATGCTCTTAAAGTTAAGCTTGTCTTCAGTTTTGGTAGCTGTACCTAGCAGTTGATGACTTGAGCTAGTCATGCCTTTGGCCAAGTGATTTAGGACAAGTCACAGCCATATCTTTTTTTTTTTTTTTTTAATTTAAAAAACAGGTTCTTTGTTTGGATTCTTCTATGGTATCACAGAAGTTCAGGTAGTTCTGCCTATTACCCTTATCAAAGCAAATCAAATGAAAATAACCTTGTCCTTTCAGTTCAGCCCTGAAGGTTTCTTCTGCTTCTTCCTGAAGCAATACCTTCCTTCAGCCTCTTTCTCCCACTCTCAGCTACAGCCTGTTTTAAATGCTCCCACCTGGGGATTCATCATTCCCCCGCCCCCCCCCCCCCAAAAAAAAAAAAAAAAAAAAATCTGCACGTCATTGCCATGCAGAGCTAGCAGCCCCCTCTGTGTCCTTAAAGGGTCTCTTGATCCTGTCAAAATGATGAACTAAGTTCTTCTGTGCGTTAAGAGTTTCTAGAAGTACAGTTTTAGTGCCTACCTAGGAATTCACATTTTGTAGAAAGTCTGTTGCTTGGCTCTTGTTGAGTCCAGTCTTTCTGTCACATGATATGAGAGAGCCTCACTACAAAGGAATGGGGAAGAAGCTGAAGTTTTGGGACTACAACTTGTTGCAGGTGTTAAGAGGAAAGAAATAAGATCAGAAAGTGTCTTTGGGAATTGAGAAGATGGTGGCAGCAGTAAAAGAGACTAGGATGCTTTTATGATGGGGAAAAATTAATATGCTTAAACCAAGAAGGGATACATTGCTAAGGTTATGGGAAGGAGAGAAAGACATGAGGCAGAGATTGAGAGTGAGCCTGAAATATTTGCAGGTGTGGATATGACACAGCTTGTAAGATGCATGCATTGGTAGGACACAGCTTTCAGATAATAGAAAATCTTAGAAAATAAAGGTTGGAAGGAACCTCAGGAGGTCACCTAGTCCAACTCTCTGCTCAGAGCAGGACCAAGATGGATGCACGGTGCAATTTTGTTATAACCACTTCTGATTGTGCTGGCAGTTTTAATCCTAGAACTTCATTGTAGGAGGTTATATTGCTTTCACATGTATAGCCATCTGTTCTGTTGTAGGCCTATTGCAATTTATCAAATAACTTCTTGACTGCTATTGAATAAACAATCTGTCATGGTGGTTCACAATAGTTGACTTCAAATTCACCCAAAAGTAGAAATAAATTGATTAAAAAGGGCTATTGGAGTTTGTTTTAGACTAAGCCAGAACTGTTCCAGGTTTGTTGGGTTTAAAAATATAGTGGGTTTTGGGGGGATTTTTGAAGGGAAAAAAACCCAGAGTGTGAAATCAGTGTAATTGCAATCTTCATAAAATTTCTAGGCAGGGTAGCCTGGCTTGAGAGCATATTGTTCAAGATATTCCCATACTTTGATCATCAGAAGAGATATGATGGTTTCTCAGTATTGTGTTTTGGAAGATAAACATTTCTCTGCTTATCGTCTTGAAGTATATTCCAAATGTGAAATAAGAGAACTTTAAATTGTGACATTGATGATCTGAGGTAGCTTGCACTTAAAAATGGTCCAAACTCTACCTGAAAGCAGATAAAAACAGGCTTCATGTCTCATTTTATAAATGCTGCAGTCCCGCATTTATGTCCCACTTCACACATCAAAGGAATGCTGGCTACTTGACTAGCCTTGAGAACTTTTTCTTAACAGCTGTGTGAGGGGTAGTAGGTCAAGCTGAGGCAGATAGGGAACCTAAGAAAGTAGTGAGCAGAGCAAGCAGACAGGGTGGATAGAAGAAAGCTGAATCTCTTGGGAAACTTGGGCAGGATATTACTCTTCCTCCTCCTTTCCCCCCCCCCCCCCCTTCAATTTCTTTTTT